GGCAGTATGTGGTATGTCAAGTCACTCCCTTTAAGATTGAATTAAAAATTTTCTGCATACCATTCATTACAATTCTGTTTTCTAAGAACTTTTTTTCCGTGAAAACAGTTCTTGTTCGCCTGGTCGGAGGTTCAGATAATACAAACAACACAGAAGGTCGAGTAGAGGTTTTCTACCATGGTCAATGGGGAACAATCTGTGATGACAGCTGGGATCTTAATGAGGCTAATGTTGTATGTCGTTTTTTGGGTCTACCAAGAGCAGTGGCTGCACCACACAACGCTGCCTTTGGTCAAGGAACTGGTCCAATCTGGATGGATGATGTACACTGCGGTGGGAAAGAATCATCTTTGTTTCAGTGTGAGCATAGAGGACTGGGTTCGCATAATTGTAAACATGGAGAAGATGCAAGTGTTGTGTGTGGACCCTCACCATGTAAGTCAATTATTGATTTTGATCTATGCATTTAGACGCACATGGCAATGGACAGTCATGGAATGACCTTGCAGCCATGCGCGTTATTAAGTTTTGCGATTGTTGTGTCCGCAGAATCCACAATAAATAGAAACGTTGATGCTATTCGTCCTCGTGCTTTATTCCTCACACACATACGATTAAATTAGATGTACGAGTCATGTGACACATGACGTGACAGCCGGAGGTAATCTGGATATTACAGCGATTTAAATAGTACCATGTTTAGCTGCTGTAACGCCACGGACACTTCAAAGCAGACCAACCTTATTACCCCTTCTCTTTTTTGTACTTAGTGATTTCCTTGAACATTACGAATATCACTGGTGAGATCAGCAGTCCCGGATACCCAAGATATATGGAACGGGCCCACTACGAGTGGATATTCAGACCTCCCATACCACGTGCGCGTATAGCTTTGTATTTAGAAGACATCGATTTGGATCGCAGTTACCAGAATGGGTAAGAGTAAATGTTACTTTAGCAAAGCAATGATTTTTTGCGATCTCTTAATATAATAGACATTATTAACAGAGTCACTAGTAATCGTGATAAAAGAAGCAAAGGAGCAAAGGTGCAAATCAAAGCAGGCGATAAATTCCGAGTAAGATTCTTGAATCTCAGATTAAGCATTGGAATAAAAGTAATTTTTGCGATTGATATATGAATTATTGTAGGTTTGGGTACATAAATTGATAAAATATTACTACTGAAGTTTTGATTGGATCATTGATGAAACTGATATTATAAATAAATCGAGAAGCGCTAGCGGATAAGATGGGATGGGATTAGTACGTTGTAAATGGTTGTTACTTTTAAGTAACTTATAAATAACTTTAACTAACTTATTCAATGTTCACTAATACTATCTTACAGGGAAAGTAGCCTTAAAGTACAAGATGCTTCAAATATCCAACTTTTATACATCAAGAACAAGAAACGTGAACCTCTCTCTATTGTCGTTGAAACCACAAGTGCAAAAGTCGTTTACTACTCTGAGTCTTCCGCTTCTAAAGGCCAAGGGTTTAAGATAAGATACAACGCCTTTCGCATGTCTGACAATGACCGTAAGTGTTAGTTTTTAGCGTTAATAAGAATAAGAGCATTTTTTTTAGAATTAATTGATTAATTGAAATTACTCTACAAAAATTCTTGTTTTATAATTTTAGTGGTATGTTACAAAACCTGGAACGTGTCCATCATCCAGAATGATCCAGGAAGAATCAATGTCTCTTGGTCCCCTGTACCACAAGCGTCTCACCAACCTGGCTCTACATACACCTTCTTGGTTTTATATAAAATTGTTAAAAGTACCTACACTAACTTTACCATTGGTGCGATCTCGAGAACGGCTAGGATTGAGTTTCTGTATCCGAACACAACATATTCCATACGAGTGATCGCTCTAGACACGTCAAGTACTAATAGTACAACGATATACAGTTGTCCACAGCTGGTAAAGACACTTGATGGTAAGCATCCACATTTCTCCTTCCAAAAAGCCAGATTTCTTATAATTAAGGCAGCAATTACGAGGATACCTTCAATGCTTTACTAAGATTGGCCTTACTTTAATCGGAGTTATAATATTTCTGGTCACAGCATTCACCATCACTGTTTCATAATCTAATTTGTGCTCTTGACGTATTCCGATAATAGTAATTGTTCGCCTGGTCGGAGGTTCAGATAACACCAACAACACAGAAGGTCGAGTAGAGGTTTTCTACCATGGTCGATGGGGAACAGTCTGTGGAGACTATGATTGGGGTCTTGAAGAGGCTGATGTTGTGTGTCGTTCTCTGGGTCTACCAAGAGCAGTGGCTGCACCACGCAACGCTGCCGCCTATGGTCAAGGAGCTGGTCCAATCTGGATGGATGATGTACGTTGTAGTGGAAGTGAATCATCTTTGTTTCAGTGTGAACATAAAGAGCTGGAAGAGCATAGCTGTGGACATTACCACGATGCAGGTGTTGCTTGTGGACTCCCACCATGTAAGTGAATTAGTGATTTTTAGCCAAGTCAATCTCTAGTTTTAGTTCAAAATGATTGCAATATTTTTTTTGCACAGCTTTTATGTCAGTAAGGGTGTCTTTTACTTAAAAGTAACATACTATAAATTCTTTTACTTAAAAGTAACATACTATAAATTCCAAAAAGTCCCTTTTTGAATTGAAAAGCCTGAAAAATTAAATATTTTAATTATACAGCTTCTCATTAATCCCATATAGGTAACTGTCCAATTATTTTCTTAATTGGACAGGTCTTGTTGATATGGGATAAATTAGGCAGCTATATAATTATTAGGTAATGGGATTTCATGCTCCCCAATCAAGAACTAATTAGACTCGAAAAATTCCTCTGACTGCCAAATTAGACTCGGCCTACCGCCTCATCCAATTTTGTCAGTCCTTGGAATTTTCCTCGTCCAATTATTTCTTAATTGGGCAGCATGGAGTCCTATTACATATACTAATTTCTCACCATAGGGTTTCCACATCATTAACAAAACAGCAAAGCTGTAGTTTTCTGTCCCTATGGTCAGAAATTCCGAATTTTCCTTCCACAGTAGGGTCACTAAACTTTTAAAAACAAGGCTGTCAATAAAATAGAGGATATTACAGCCTTGCTTTCCATGAGTGCTGTGCAAGTTGATACTACTTCTAAGAAGTGATAAGCTTAACGTAACCTTGTCTAAATTTGCTTAGGGTTGCCTTTCGCAGATCATTTGGCAGACTGTTCCATAGCACCGCACCACTGTACCCAAAACTGTTTTTAA